CATGGCATTAAGCGCAAGAGTAGGTGTGGTTCGAAGTGCCCCACTGATTCCAATTAAGGTAGCTCTTTGCACCTTCTCCAGCTGCTTGACGATGTAGGCCTTGTCGAGTGCGTTCCACCAGACGAGTACCCCATATAATAAGATTGGCTTGATAATAGTTTCATAAAGCCAATGCACTACCTTCGGCGAAAGACCCCAGCGCTTGCCAATGGCCCCTCTGCAACAATACAGTGCTACTGTAGCCTTCTTGACTCTTTCCTCCACGTTAGGCCTCCAGGAAAGCTTACTGTCAAGGATCAAGCCCAAGTACTTCACCCTGTCAGAGAGCCTTAGAGGAAGACCACCCATTGAGCGAAGACGGCAATTCGGTATCTTATACCTTCTAGTAAAGAGAACAAGCTCCGTTTTGCAGGGATTTACACCCAGCCCGCAGCTAAACGCCTAGTTCTCAACCAACCTCAAGTAACCCTGCATAAGCTCGAACTGTGTTTCCGGAAACTTTCCTTTTGTTATCAGTACTACATCATCGGCATAGGCAACTACCCGACAGCCACTTCTTTTCAGAAACATCAGCAGGTCATTGATTACAACGACCCAAAGCAACGGCGAGAGAACTCCCCCTTGCGGGGTACCTCTACTCACACTCCTCCGGATAGAAGCGCTGCCCCACTCTGCCGCAACAATTCTATTGCAAAGCAAGCGGTAAATAAAACTGACCAGGTCGGCTCCGACCCCTAGCTTATTAAGGGAGTTAACTACAGCCTCAGGCAAAACATTGTTAAAAGCCCCCTCGATATCAAGGAAGGCACCGACCGCAAACTCATTATGCGAGAAGGATTGCTCAATATTTTCAACGACCGGGTGTAAGGCCGTTTCGACAGACTTGCCCTTGCAATAAGCATGCTGATCCAAGGAAAGGCGCTCCCTGAGGATCCCGCTCCTTAAATGCAGATCGATCAGCCTCTCCAGCGTCTTCAAAAGAAACGAGGAGAGACTTATCGGCCTGAAATCCCTAGGTGATACATAAGAGGCTTTACCTGCCTTGGGAATGAATACCACTCTGACCACCCTCCAAGGCACCGGAACATGAACATTAGCCAAACAGCCCTCGAAAATGGGCATCAACCAGCGGCACGACACTTCTGCAGACTTCTGCAGTTGGGCCGGTATAATGCCATCGGGGCCCGGGGCCTTAAAGGGCTTGAACGAGCTAATGGCCCACAGAAGACGATCAACGGTTAGGATTTCCGAGACATTCGTCTCGGGGATCGACGCCCCCAACCGCATCCCCCCCGGATCTGGGTTGCAGGGGAAATGAGCATCAAGGAGCATCCGAAGAGACTCCTCGCTGCTCATTGCCCATCCGCCACCCTCGTCCCTGATGTATCCCAGGGGAGCGGGATTCTCAGAGAGAACTCGCCTAAACCTTGAACACTCCTGACTGCCCTCCACGCTTTCGCAGAACAGTCTCCACGACGACCTCTTCACTTTCCTAATCTCGGACTTATATATCCCAAGCCCAATCTTATACAGTGCCCAGTCGGAGGCTAATTTACTCTTCCTGGCCCTATTGAAAAGGCCTCTGCTCGAGGCCCTAAGATCGGAGAGCTCCTCCGACCACCAGAGCGGTTTGCTCTTACCTTTGTGGTAACTCAGGGGACAAGACATATCAATGGCCCTTTTACAATTAATTCGTCAATTTCGCTTTCAGTCCAGGTCCCGCCCCTCACGGGCGCAACCCCTCTGCAGTATGAGTACCAGTTGGTTCTCCTCAGATTCCTGTAAGGTTCGTGCTTAGGACGCGCTTCGTCCAAAGCAAATTGTATGTACCGATGATCGGAGAAGGAGTGGTCACTAAGGACTCTCCAGCCAGATATACGGGACATTATATCAGAAGAGGCCAGCGTGATATCTAAGACCTCTTCCCTACTTGCCGTTAGAAAATTGGGGTCGCTCCCCCTATTACATATACATAAATTTTCAGTTAGAATAAAGTTAAAGAGTGACTCACCTCTAGTGTTGATGTCTGAGCTGCCCCAAATCGTATGGTGGGAATTCGCGCCAGACCCAATAACAACGCGGACCCTCCTGCGTCTAGCTTCTGCCACCGCATCCCTTATTAAGCGCGGAGGTGGCTCCACCCCGTCCTCGTGCGCCATATACGCAGAGATCAACCAGAGTTCTCCGGTTGCACCCTCCAGGCTCACCGTCACAATGTCACCATCGCTGAAAAGAGGCAGAATAAAAGCACTAAGTTCCTTCCTGATGAGCATGCATGATCGAGGTCTACCTGCGTCCCGCTGCACCACCAGTCTGTAGTCCCTCGTCCCGATACCAGAAATCTTATTGCAGCTGCTCAGCCACGGCTCCTAGATCAGGACTACATCAACTCCACCTTGCTCAAGGCGGATTAAGAGGTTGGCTGACGCCGCCTTAGAGTGCTGAAGATTCATCTGAAGAATATTCATCCTCCGAAATCCTCTCCAACACCCCTCCGCGGGCGCCATCCCATCGGGCGCAAGGAGCATTTCCTCCTCCGCCCTGTCGAACAGCGGGCCAACAGAGATGACCGATCCCGCAGTTGAAGGAGGGCCAGCGATGCTGTCACTGTCCGACATGACGGATTCGACCTCCATACCTACGGGGACATCCTCCGCATTCGTATTCTCGCCCGCCAGCCCAACCGGAACAGGCTCGTCATCTACCCTGGAGTCGGTCTGGTAGACCTTCATGACTACCTTCTCGAAGCCATAGTAAATGACTCCCTGTTTTTCGGCGAGAGGCTTGAGCGCTTGCCAGGAGTCACCGTCGGAACTCTCAAACCGGATTGCCTTCCAGTTGTGCGCTGGAAGGTCCGGGTTACAGGAACGGAAGATGTCCTCCACCTCCCTCAGCGAGGAAGGTGCCGAGGGAAGCCAGACCCGAGCACGCGGACGCGAGGGAAGGTCCCCCTTGTCCACAACCTCGAGTCTGGCTCCCTTCCACACCTCCCCGACCAACGCTACTGCCGCCCTGTAGAGCGAGGCCGACCGCTCGTCGGCGCACCGCGGCGGTGGCCCCGGGTTTTCCTTGATCACCCTCATAAAAACTCCTGATAAGTTCGACGAAACCTTCCTCCAGTCTTCCCTGGCGATGGCCCCGTCCTCCTTACCCCGATCCAAAACGCCCAGAGTGATAGAGCCCGCCTGCTTAGCGATCTCGCTAAAGAGCTCAGGCGTCCCTCCCGCTCTGGGCTTCTTGGAGAGGGGGGCTTCCCCCTCCTGCGATCTCTGCCGCTTGACAGGGTTAATACGGGATGCACTCGCATCCCCAGGAGCACCCTCACCACAGCCCTCCTGGCCGTCGCTTAGCACCCCCGCGCGATCGCGCGTGTTGCTCAGATATCTGCGCAGCACCCTGCTCACCGTAGCGCGCCAGGATCTTGGTAGCCATGCGACGGTCATCGCGTGCTTTCCTGGCCGGCCCAGCGTGCCGTTTAGGCCTGACGGTGGGATTTCCCCCAGATTTAGCCGCAAGTCCTTGGCTGGTACCGGCCACACAGTCCATTGCCCTTACGTCCTGAGCCGCAGACGATTTCATCTGCCTCCGTCCTGCACGCAAGCGAATTCGCCCGCGCCCCTAACCCCGAGTCTAGGTGCGGTGGTACCCCACCCTGCCCACGAGTCGATTCCGCCTCGTTTAAAGAGGAGCGGAAGAGAGGGATCGGTTTCGAATCCCCTCCACCGCTCGAAGTTTTGTCCGTAGACATAGGTTTTTGGTTTTGCTTTTGTTTTTGTTTGTTTGTGTTCATCTTGTTCGTACGACCACCTACCCGACGAAGCAGGCACAGTGTTCTAGGTCATAAAAGGGGAATTCAAACGGTCCACTACGGCAGCGCCCCATGCCGCAGCAAGGCCACCGTTACTCCCTGAGGCGGCCCGGTGTCAGGAAGGCGCCGTTAAAATACAGCCGGTCTGGTAAACCCCCTGGCTGCAAACCTTCCAATGGGCACGGTGTCGCTTAACACCCTGGATTAGGGGGTCGGCAGTTCTTGGTCACCGCTCACAAGCAGACCGAACCATAGGAAATGGAGTGCATTCGCACAGTACCCGGAGGTAGAGACACGATTACACTACCACCCGATGATAAGGTCTGGTCGTGATTCGACTAAGCCCCCGCACCAACGACAAGGTGCCTGCCCTAGCGGAGTCCCCTAATTTACCCACCTAAATTATTTCTTAAAAATACATGACATCCGCATTCGCATCCGCGGATGTCTAAAATTGCACATTCGCAACATTCCTAATACTAAGCATCCACAAGGTAAAGCCCGAGGTGCAACAGCTATTCTCATTCGTAACAGAATAAAAAGCTATGAATTAGAATCGAAAAGTGATGAGTTGATTCATAACACTGCAATACACATTGATGACCACTTGGGTAGGCCTTACTATATCTGCTGCCCGCTCGTCATAACATAACAGAAAAACAATTTAATGACTTTTTCCTAAGTTTGGCAATAAGTTTATTGTAGCAGGAGATTACAATGCCAAGCAGACATTCTGGGGATCTAGATTGGTTACACCCATATATCGTCACCTAAAATGCAAAAGGCCGTAACTAACATTTTTAGTATTTTACAGGAGAAGCAAAAAACGTTATACATTAAAGACTACTTAAAACTAAATATCCAAATTGTAGATTTAAGCTTAGAAAACAAAGACGGATTTGTTTCTGAAAACCAAATTAATGGAAAAAAGTAGTTTTTAAGAAATGTTAGTTACGGCCTTTTGCACTCTATTTTTCTGAAACCAAAAAGCCGTAACTACTTGAAAAAAATTGTGCATAAAATAAAACAAATGGTTAAAATAAGAAAATGTGCTTTTAGGCTGTAACTAAAAAGTTTTTAACAAGTTATGTCTTTTTGTATCTATTTATTGTAAGTATTTTAACACAAAAGAAAATATTTAATTAATAAATTTAATTCGAGAAAATAAAATTAAATTAAACTGGTTAAGAAAAACAAAATAATTCATTTGAAAACAACAAAACCTGCATTACAAATAGCAAATTAGAATAGGTTTAAGATGTAAAGGGTATATTATCATAAAAGCTGTGGCAGTCAGCCGGAAGTAAAAATTTAAGTTCCTGCAGGTGTTCCCATTTCTTTTTGGATATTGGTATTCTTTCGGTATGTAACTGTGAAGGTTCGATGTCCCTAAATTTTTGTTGTGTACGTTGTGGCAAAACGTTATAATCGTCGTTGATATTTGTTTTATAATAAATTATTCCAGATGGATCATATGCCAAGGCACGGATCATATTAACAGTTGGCTCTCCGGATTTTTTGCCTGTAATGAAGATACTGAGTTTTTTATACATAATTTATACATGTGTGTTAAATTTTACCTGGTCGAATAGATACGTAGCGCTTAGGAATACTTTCGTAGTCAAGGAAATACTTGTAATCAACATGATGCACTTTTAGAGGAAATGGGTTCTTTCGAGACTCTCTAATCAAGCCAGACAGCTCAGATGGTAAATTTATTTGTCTCTTGTTGATTTTTCTTTGAATGAGGGAGTGGGTCGAATCACACTCCATTTGTGTATGTCCCACTATTAAATATTTATGTGCTACCGTTATGTTTTCTTGAACACATAAAGATAATATTGCGTTAGAGAGAATTATATTTCGGTTCTGGTAGAAACAACCATCGGAATATATAATTATGTGATGAATATTTGGTGACTTTTTAATGGCATTTTTTATGTATTTTATTATACATGTAGCAAAGGTAGAAGCAACAAGGGTACCATCTGTTTCGTCCCAGACAAAATTGTCAGATTCATGTGAAATAACGTTATAAATTGTGAAATTGTGCACTTGTAATTTCATTTTATAGTACGTGGCATTTGCATTTGTCTGTGGAATCAATTTCACTGCCTGCATGTCAATGCATAACAACAAGTGTAATCCTGATTTGGCGTTTTCTATGTCATATAACTTTTCATTTCTCATGTCTTGTATATCCTTTCTATGAATGTCGTACTGATCTTGGGTTAAGTTCTTCGATTCGTATGATGTGCAGGTGTCGCACATATCATTTTTTGGCTTAAATATACAACAGTTTTGTTTTTTTAATACTGCCATAAATGTTGGAAAAGATACATGAACTACTTCATTAGTCTCGCAGTCTTTAGAATAAACTTCATAGACATGTTTGTAGCTTTTAAAATCGGACTGCAAGTACAGTTTCTCCGTATACTGTCTTCGGTAGTGTGATTCAAGCTTAGGAATGTCATTTTTCCAGAAAATTTAAACGTTTTTGAAATAAGACTCCTTCATTAGTAAATGCTTTACGTTCTGATGTTATTTTGTTTTGTTCTTCTGGCGAAATATTGGTGCCATGGGAGTCATTGAAATTTACCCAATTCCTCACCATTTTCTCATTTATTCCAAGCGTAGATAAAAACATATGAAAGCACACTTGAACACGTTTAGAATGATGTTTTAAACAGTAACGTTTTGTAATTGATCTTCTAGAGTTCTCAACACCAATTCGCTTTATGTTTGCGCGTTCAACAAGATTAACGACATACATTTTTTTTTGATCCCATGACATTTTCCAGAACCCATTAAATATTTCCTTACGATTTTCTTCGGAAAATGTAGAACAATTCCGTACAGCACTTTTCTCACAGAATTTTGAAGTACATCCAGCTTTAAGTTCTCTTGGAGCTTTTTCACTAATAATGCCTTTCGATAGTCCCATGTATTTTTTTCCTTTCAATCGGTTTATTATATTTCCAGATCTTTTATTATTTTTTTTAAGTTTTTCATTACAACCATTTTCACAATTAGTACTCATTTTATTAATTTTGTTTTATTCCGGGAATAAAGACAGTAACACAATAACACAATTTGATAAAGAATGAAAGATAATGAAAACAACTGTAATTACGGATAACACAATGTGTCACATTGAAATAGAATCAAAGAGAATGAAAAAAAGTGTAGTTACGGCTTTTTGGTTTATGAAATTGTGGAAGTTGTAGTTACGGCCTTTTGATTTTCGCCTATAAAGTCGTTATTTTTGGACGTATGCATGTAAAATTTGCTGTGTACATGTGTTTCGGTTAAGTACTTCATAATCAATCAAAAAGTCAATTTTGAATTTTTTGTTAGTTACGGCCTTTTGCATTTTAGGTGACGATATGTAATACTTCTATATTGGCAGTAAACTAACTTCTCAATGTGTAAGCATTCCGAAATCAAAGCGAGACAGTCTAATACCGTTTTTGTCAATGTATTGTGTACTTGAGTGCCGTTTTTGTATATGTGTTGTGTACATGTTTATTTATAAACGTATGTGTTCCTTTTCTTTCGTACGTGTTTATTGATATATCTGTACTGTAGTGTTTTCGGACGGTACTAGCTCTTACTGCCAATATAGGAGTATTACATATATGGTTACACCAAAGGGTAGAAATCTATATAAAGTAATCCATAACAGAGGATTTGACGTCTTGTCTACTGGTCAGCCAACGTATTGGCCATCTGACCCCCAAAAAATACCAGATCTTATTGACTTTGGTGTAACAAAGGGTATTGCGCAACACCGAGTTAATACTGAAGCCTTATTTGATCTCTCTTCAGATCATTCACCCTGCCTCATAACATTATCAACGTTTATTAATTATGAAGAAAAACAAAAAAATCTTACAAATAAGCACACAAACTGGTTAAAATACAAAAAGTATGTCAGTTCGCACATTGACCCGCAAATTCCTATTTGGACCAAGAATGATATCGACAGGGCAGCTGAACATCTCACTGATATAATAGTTAAGGCCGCAGAAATTGCAACACCAAATCCTTCTATTAAACATCGAAGTTCTTACTGCCCTGGCCTGAACACCCCAAACATTCTTAACTTAATAAGTAAAAAGCGCAAATTAAGAAGGGAATGGCAAAGAATTCGCTCTCCGAAGCTTAAACAGGAGCTGAATGCGTGTACAAAGGAATTACGTATTTTGTTGCAGCTGGAAAAAGAAAGAAGTACGCAGTCGATCCTTCAGTCCTTGTCTGCTTCGAAACAGACTGACTACTCCCTTTGGCGAACACTGAAGCATGCGAAGAGGCCCGTTCTTCGAGAAGCACCATTACGTACTCAGAACGGAAGCTGGGCGAGGAATGATGATCATAAAGCAAGCGCTTTCGCCTGTCATCTTTCACAAGTCTTTAAACCGAATGAAGGCTCTCATCCTTCCAATATTTCAATACCCCCCTCCCCGCATTACCTAAACCTTCACTAACAAGTAAGCAAATAATACCACCACATCAGTTTGGTTTTCGTGAATAACATGGCACTGTACAACAAGTTCATAGAGTGGTTTCTTGTATTAGAAAAGCCTTCGAAGGGAAGCAATACTGCACCGGTGTATTTTTGGACATCTCTCAAGCTTTTGACAAAGTCTGGCATGATAGCCTTATATACAAACTGAAGGTTTCACTCCCTGCAAATACGCATGCAATTCTCTAAAGCTTTCTGCTGGGGAGAAACTTCAGAGTCAGGCAGAATTCCTTTAGAACGGAAAGTCACCCAATATATGCAGGTGTCCCTCAAGGCAGTGTTCTAGGACCCATATTGTACGTAATATACACTCGCGATTTGCCAATTGATGATAGTCTAACCATTTCAACGTTTGCTGATGACACAGCTATCCTAAGCAATAGTTCAGACCCTAAGGGGGCTTCTTACAAGCTGCAAGAATATTTGAAAAAGTTGGAGCTATGGCTAGGTTCTTGGAGGATAAAGGTTAACGAAAGCAAGTGTGTTTAGACAACATTTACTTTGAAGAAAGAGACTTGCCCACTACTAAAAATAAACAGCAAGGCTATACCACAAAAAGATCGTGTCAAATACCTTGGGATGACACTAGATAGAAGACTTACCTGGAAAAAGCATATAGAAAACTAAATTTCTCAAGCGAAACTAAAACAAGCAAGCTTTCAATGGGTTATAGGAAACAAATCTAAATTAAGCCTAGATAGCAAGATGTTGCTTTTTAATATGATGATTAAACCATGTTGGGCACATGGAATCGGGCTTTGGGGCACAGCGTGCAATTCCATTTTGAACAGACTTCAAAGACTGCAGTCAAAAATTTTACGCGCCATATGCGGAGCACCGTGGTACATAAAAAATATGAATATCCCCAAAGATCTTAATGTAAATACGGTGCATGAGCACAGAAGAGGGCTAAGCACCAGTTACTCAACACGGTTAATGAACCATCCAAATCGACTAGCGATAGATCTTCTTACCCCGAGATATGCAAGAAGTTTTTAGTCTTCTTAGGATTTCTCCGATATCATCAAATGATGCGCAACGTAATAAATTTCGATATCCGCAAAATATATCAATTTCGGCTCTGGAACTCGTCCTTTGAGACCGACTACCCAACACCAGTGAACTTAAATATAGAGAAGCGAAGGCGCGGCGTGGAAACTAGTCCTTTCCACCCGCCCTGGCAGTGCGGCTCTCGAACTCGTCTTTTCAGACCGCCTGCCCAGCACGATATCCAGCGATCCTGCTGCTCGGAATCTTGTCCATTCCGACAGCCTCAACAGCCGTAATAAATATATATGTATGAAAAAATAAAAAATTTCTAAGCATTGCCGCAGAAATTTTAAATTTAATAGTAGTTTGTAAGATTTGAAAACTTATTGTTTGTTTCGAAAGAAAGATTCAATAAATAAATACATATTATACAAAAAAATAAAAAATATATATATAGTGAGCTGACACTCAGAAGCATCGGCGGTATGTATACCATTGGGATTTTATTGAAAATGTTAATGTGCTTATGTCCATTTAAAAGCGAATCGCAATAAATTTCCTGCAGATATCGTTAATTTGGGACTTAACAGTTGCTTTAAGCGCTGGTTTAAGTGCGAACATACAACAATACTCCGCACGAGCACGGAAACACTATTGAACCAAATATCCGTATGTTATTCGACGCGCTGAATGCGAATCTGAAAATTCAACGCAATTCTTCTGAATTTGACCTTGAGATGACCTCGGGCCTCACGTGATGGAAGCTGACATATTCGTATACAGTGCGACGAATAACATAGGGTTATAGAGGTTTGGTTCCATATGCAGAAACTTTTTTTTTTGTAAACCTGTGCAATTAAAAAAAAAATTTTAATATGTTGCCCGGAAAAGAAAATGTTTAGTATAACATAAATGACGAATCATAAGTGGAAGTCAGATTCCCTACGGAATCGTTAAACTCACTTTATTTCAGTGGAGTTGCACCTGATGAATTTGGACTAAAAGTTCTAACATTTGCGATGTTTATCTACAGTCCAAGTATATATGTACATACTTACAACACAAATATATCCGTTTTTTAGGAAAAAAAAAATATTGTTTTTTAGACGAAGCACCCCCCAAAAAACAAAAGGATTTTCTAGTAACTTCAAACTTGCACCTCGTTATACTAAAATTGAATGGACTATAAAACTGCATACTGATTACAAAGTTGCAAATAAGTATGCAAATTTATTAAATTTTCCTGAGTTTTGCACAAAGTTTAGAAATTTTATTTTTGTGTTTTTTGTTGTTGTATGAACTATATTTTCAAGAAAAGTCAGCGGAAAAAATTAAAATTAAAAATTTGGACTACATTGCGAAAAATTCTCTACATTTAAACTTGAAATAATTACATAGTCCTTGTCGTATTTCTTCAGCTGAGGGTTCATTGTCTCTAATCACCACCGTTTGTTCCGGATTTTCGCGATTTCTGCTCACCTCCTGCAATCTATCCATCCACATATCATTGATGGTGTCGTTTATATCATATAAGAAATTATGTAGGACGCAGCAGGCTCTAATAATAATCGGTGCCTTCCCAATTCGGTGGGGTATACCTTTTCCAACATGACGGAATCATCCTTTCAAGTGGCCAAAGGCATTCTCAACCACTCGCCTAAATTTTGAGAGCTTATGATTAAAAAGTTTTTGCGGTTCAGTCAAGGCCATGGAAAAGGCGTATGACTTCTAGGAGGTGGAAAATCGGAACGCATAACCTCCTATTAAACATACAGGCATTTGTACTCCACCTATTTTCTTCTTAGTGGTTGTCAGTGATTCATCCTCCATTACTTGCTTCATTAGTGATGCATTGTATATCTGTGAATCATTGCATTGTCCTAGGGCGCCAATGTTCACATATAAGAAACGGTATCCGTATTTATAAATCATATATACTTATTATGATAAAATAACAGGATGAAAATGGTGTTACACGGTAAAAAATTTGGGTTTAATATTTAAACCGCGCTGGGACTACTGCCTTTTTTAATCTTTTATAGTCTACTTTTTAAGCCAGTCAATAGTTTTAAGCAATTTTTAATATATTCTGGTTTAAATTTTAGTCCAAAAAGTTCGGCGTTTAAAATTAAACCAAAATGTTTTAATTCTAGTTTCTTGGTTTCATATATGGAAAATTTGGTTTGAAATCTAAACCGAAATAGAAAATGTTTGCACACAGCGAAATGCGGTATTGATTCAAATACAACATTTGAAAGCACATTTACATGCGTGGCTGTAGCTGAGTGTGCAAAGATGCTTGATACAATTGGTTGCTACCAAGGCTGTCCGGGTTCAATCCCCACCAGACGCAGCGTGAAATTTAAGATTTTTTATTTTTTATTCTTAATTAAGAATTAAAATGTTTGGGTTTAAAATTTAAACCGAACTGTTTAAATT